CGTAAGTTTCGTCGGTACGAAGTTACGGAAAATCAGTTAATTAAAAAAACGGAGACGTAACAATATATTACTCGACTGAGATCCAGAACTTTCTACAAACTACGAGAAGTTATGATGTAACAATAATCACTTAAAGGAATGAGAAAAATTCAGAAAGTTCGAGTAACATGTCAGTTCACAAGAATTGAACTACGCAACAAATGATTCATAAACAGTTACGTAAGACTCATAAGTAAACGTGCGATATCTATTGCTTCTAAAAATAACTTACTTTAACACTTGAGCTATGTAAACAACCTAAATCATAACGTTCACATTAAACTTAAGAATGAAATGAAACAGTAAGGTATATCCAACAATGTTATTGAGAACTGCAGGGAGAGTTTCAAAAACTGCCACATTCTTTGAGGGGGAAATTGCTCCTCCAAGAAGATTAAATGAACTTGACATAAAATACCAGTTTTACGCTTTTACTGTGTGTGCTGTAAAGTTACACTATAATCTAATGCTAGAAAAATCCAAGGACTTCCAGAGGCCGCTACTTCTGTAGCAATTTGTTCCTATCCAAATAAAATGTAAAATGACATGGTTGGATCTAACCTGTGTGTGTGTATGTGTTTTCTGTTTTGTAACTATCCTAGATAAGAAATACGTTTTGATCAAGGGTCAGTGAGACTTATACCAGTTTTTATCTTAAGGATAGTTTCTGCAAAATTATTTTTTAATCATGTTAATCGTGATTTTACAGAGTTGACGTAAAAGTCGCTCACCACCACGATTTTCCAAGTCCTGCCCTTATAGGTATTCGAAATATGCATCATTGATATCAAGACAAAATACCGCAACAGGATCACTTCCACACGTTCTTGAAGGTTAATGACATTCCAACCAGTTATCGCATAAACGAAAAAGACACTTCAGTGAAACACAAACATGATTTAGGAAAGTCGTAGTATGGACGGGAATTAGAAATACCACGTTAGTAGAACACTGTAGCATCACTATCTACTATATTTTATAAGAGGCTGTTTGATGTACTGACTTTTACGTATCGTTGAATTCCTAGAGATTTGGATAGTTATAAAAGTTTATACTTTAAAGTGATAACTGTAACCAAAGACTACTTCAGTTCTTTAAATAACATACTAGAAACACTGATGACAGTTACGAGTTTTGCAAATAGACAAAAGCTCATTTTTGCTTTTTTTCGTTCCTTAAGATTTCAGATGTTACTTTCGAAATTTTCATGTAACATATAAAGACATATTTTACATAACTTCTCTTTCAAAAACATGCTTTATAACTGCAATTGTATGCCCGATATATGTCACACACTGGATCGTCAATGTCTCCAATTATGCGTATGTATTGATTATTTTGACATGGTTTGAAATGTAAAAAGAAAATACATTTATACAGTAAATAGCAACTAACATATCTTAACTTATTTTATCGCTCAGAGTTACCACATTTGAAGATGTCGACACACTACTATTGTCACACAAAATTTCGCATTTAATTTAGCCCCACGGTGGTTCAGCGGTAAGTCTGAGAACTTATAACGACAAAAATCGAGTTTCGATACTCGTGGTAGGTAGAGTACAGGTTGCTTATTTTATAACTTTTTTGTTGTTCAGCAAACATCAAACAAAAAAACGTTTAATTTAAAATTTTCAAGATACTCTTAGATGCATGTCCCCTCCCGTGGGTCAGTGGTAAGTTTAAATACTTAAAACGCTAAAATCCGGAGTTCGATTCACAAACGGTGGCGTGATGGCAATGGGCACATTGTGTAGCTTTGCAATAAGAAAACAAAATAACATTTTATATAGGTATATATAAAGCTTAGTGGTGCCGAATGTCGAGAATGTAGCAAAGAAACTGAACTTACACCTTCAGTTACAATTATATGCAATTTGCTAACTGTGTACGTCTTATCGTATTTTCTTATTTTGATGTTTTGAGCTATTTTGTGTTTAGAAC